TTTTAATAATTATTTATCAACTTAATAGATTATTCTTTAGAAGAAGCAATTCTCAAGGCAGCCTCAATTAAGTTACAACATAAATTTTCCCACTAAGGAATAACAGTTTTTAGGTGATTAAGAAGTCAGTGTACCTTTTTTTGGTAAAATTCGAAGACGAGAACTTGCCAAAGTTTGTTGTTTTATTTATTTGTCCTTCTTTTATACAGCTATAGAGCAAAGGACTGATATTATTATTCACACATTATATACAGCTGTGGTCTTCAACACTATAGCAAAATTCCCCCACTCTACATGTTTTCTATTACGTCATAATGTACTTAAAATCATGTGTAATATAAATCTATTCCTATTTATGTAGCTTATTTAAAGAACTTTGCTTATATATATATATATATATATATATATATATATATATATATATATATATATATATTGATATCAATTATAATAAAAAAAACGTTAATTTTTTTCTTAAATAAATTATTTTAGATTCGTTTTTATAAACAGACATTAGCATTAAATTCCTAATTATATTTTAACTTTTTAAATAATAGCTCATGTACATGTATTATATATATTTATATCGTATATATACTCGTATATATTATGTATGTATTATATATATATCGTGTAATTAAATTATTTTAGTGTAAATAGCCGTTATTGTTTGATAGAATATTGAAATAGCAAAAATGCCACCCTAAAGTAACAAGGATAAAAGTTTGCCTGTCCTGTAAAACTTTCAGCAATTAGACGAAGTCTTTCGAGCCTCTGGAGTGATATTACAACGTCAAAACTTCACTGGATCTAGAAAAATTCAACTAAGTACGATAATTACAATTTCATCGAAATACACAGCTTGCTATGTTTGTTTGTTAATACTTCCTATCTAAGAACACGTCAGTGTATATAATAAAAGGTTAACACCAAAGTATTTTTCTCTGGATATGTGCACGTAGTTTTACAACCTGTCGCGAAATGAAATAAAATTATTTCCATCGTCAATCTTTTTCTTTTTAATTATTGAGGAGTGCCGAAAGTAATATAGGATTAATCGTCTGAAGCTGTGATTAAAAGTAAATTAATTATTTAAAGTATAGATTTAATAAAATATTTAAAAGTTTTTTTTTATATAAATGCTTTTATTTTATTACCAAGCGTTTTATTATTTCGATAGTTTATATTATTTTATTATACTGGAGCACTCAATTTAAGTTTTTTTTAATGTCGGTGAAAAAGTAGACTTTATACACTTTACAAAAATAAAAAGGAAATAAGACATTTCGATCAGATAAAATTCGACATATCTTATGTAACTTAAATAATAATTGACATAACTTTTTTATCCAGACCGGGAATCAAACTTGTAGTAGCCAGGTTAGCTAGCAAAAATCACTATTATCATTGCATGAATAATTTTAAATAAGAATATTTTATAATGAAATAACAAAACTACATTGTATGACTTTTATTATTGTACTTTTATCAATTAATATATTAATATACTATTTTTATAAGTTTACTAGCAATAAACAAATACACAGATATTGAAAATTTGTTTTATCATTCGATATCAAACATTTTATCTTGAGAGCAGTATCTACAATTTTTCTGAAAAATATTCAATTTACATAAACTCAGCCTTCTCTGATGTTTTATTATACATATAAAACTATACATTGACATAAAATTCGACATGAAATTCCCAAATCCTACAAAACTCGAAATACACACTCTGGGGATTTAATATGTTTTGCAGTCTGTTAAAAGATTTCTGGTTTCTATAAACCGAATCGATGATAATAGTAATATCCAAGAAGTACCGATATAAAAGATTGGAGATAATAAAGGTTTGAGATAGATTCATGAATTATTAAATAACGGACATGCGGTATAAATCTTGATACAGAGTGGACGGGAGAAATGATATATGTGCAAACAATTTACCAATAATAATATTACGTTTGAAAAAATATGTAAGTTAAATATAATTTCATATAATGGAAAATATGAGTATCAAACTACATTTAATAAGTATAGTCAAAACTGAGCAGTTTATACTATCTACATACTTGTAGTGCCAGTAGTCGCGGGTTCGAGTCTCGCTGGAGGCATTCATTTGTGTGATGAGCACAAATGTTTGTACTCCCGTCATGGGTGTTTATATTTATAATATGTTTGTATTTAAAGTTATATTTGTGTAGTGTATCAACTATGTGATATCCATAGCACAAGCCTCGTAGCACCATGGAACTAGTTAGCGGTGTGTGTTAATGTTCCAACATATTTATATTTATTTATTAATACAAGAATTGCTCATTTTATATAAGATATTCTTAATTGAGAAATGACGTATTAACTAAAATTATCGAGGAATTATCTAATATATTATCGAGGATATATGTACGTAAGATGGGCTAAAATGTGTGAAGCTATAAATTACAAAGATGATCTTCTTCCTTAGATAAAAGTTTTTATATTGTACAAGATACTTACTCTTCATGCTCTAGATGTTTCTCACAGAGGGCTTAAATTATAGGACGAACTTTGTTTAAAGACCAATTTCCGACTGCCTCAGATATAAGCGTATACACCATACTCATAACACGAATTCTGCGGCTATATAGAACTTTAATGCCAATTTTAATCTTCTTAACCCAATTTTTTTATGGAATAATTTGTTAGTCTTTTATAGCAATACGTTTTAACGTTTAGTATAGATTTCTCAGAGATGAGATAATAACCCGGATAACCAGCTATCATCATACCAAATTTCAACAAAATCTGTCCAGTGGTTTTCTTGTGATGTGTTCCGAGACAGACAGACCGACAGACAGGCAGACAAAAATTCTAAAAACAATAAATTCGGTCTCGGTATCTATAGTAATGACTATTTCAATAAGATTTTCAAAAACCTCTTCCGCTCGAAACGCGAACGAAAGCAGACGTGTGCACTCAAAAATACAATCATTATTTAATATTTACATATTTTACTAATTGGTTCAACTAATTTATTGGATATTTACAAGAAAATAATAAATAACCCTAATTTAAATATTGAAGTAAAACTAGGACAACATAGAAATTATAAAATTAACCTGTGTAAGCCGTGGGTGAGTTTCACTACGAAAACTTTGAACTCGTACCAAGTGCCTTTATAATAATGTCTACCATCGCAAGATCTCCTCCTGGACATAGTCTTAAGCACACAGCTTCGGATTCCGATATTTCAACAATTACTCCCTGTACCCCAATGTCATCGAATATTACGCTAAGAAGCAAAAGACCACGAGAATCAAGCGAGGAAAAGTTTTCGACTTTTAAAGACGAAATAAAAAACATGATAGAAAGTTGGAAAGAAACACAGAATTCAATGTTAAGCAAGCTTGTATCGGAGGTATCTGTTATAAAACAACAAAATAATGATATCAAGAAATCCAACGAAGAGATAGAAAAATCATTAGAGTTTCTAAATTTTCATTTTGAAGAAATGAAAAAGAAGATAGAAAATCTAGAGGCTGAGCGCAAACAGCACTTACTTCAAATTTCGTCTTTAGAGTTAAAACTCGATGATATAGAACGAAATTCAAAACTATCGACTATTGAAATGAGGAATATCCCATTTATTGCTCAACCAGAATCAAAGGCTACTCTAAGTAAAATTGTCCAAGATACATGCAAAGCCCTGGATGTAAATATTCAACCTAATAATATCCGGGATGTGTATCGACTAAACGGAAAATCGGGCAAAAACACAGTCATTGCAGATCTAACGACTGTCATTGCTAAACACGATGTGATTAATGCTGCCAAAAAGTACAATAAAGATCATCCTACACAACGACTGTCCACGGCAACAATTGGATTTCAAGGACCAATTGCTCCAATATATGTATCGGAAGCGCTTACTAGTAAGGGACGCAGACTATTTTTCTTAGCAAGAGACTTTGCCAAATCTCACCACTATAAGTTCTGCTGGACAACTCATGGTAAAATATTCTTGAGGAAAGCACCTGACTCTCCCCACATAGAAGTTAAGAATGAAGAATTATTAGCTACCTTAAGAAATCAGAAATGACTAGATATATCACTCGGCTATTTTCTCTGCTCTTTAAAAAGGTATTACTACTGTTTTTTGTTGTTTATTAAAATATTACCTTATTTGTGTGTACTTGCAGCTTTTAAACTTAATCGACCTTTACTTTATTTTGGTAGCCTTTGTCTTATTCATCTCATAATCAGTAATCAGCGTAAATATTTAACTATGAATTTTAAGTTGTACATATTTAAAATTCATTCATGTCATACTTTAAGTCATTGTTGTAATAAAATTAAAATTCGATCACATAAATAATCAGATTCTTACAAATACTCTAGATAACGTCAAAGTTGGTTCTTCTTTTCTATGCCTACCCGAATCTTGTAAGACACTTATAATGCAGGAATCCATTAATGCCTACTTTAAAATCCTCGTACAAAATATTCGAAGCATTAATAAAAATTTTAATGAATTTGAAATTCTTTTAAATAGATTAGATATAAATTGTGAAATATATATACTTACAGAGTCATGGAATTCAATAGTTCCTAATTATCCATCCTTAAACAATTACGAAACTCATTACACTAAAAATAATATTAACCAAAATGATGGCATTGTTATTTATATAAAACGAAACATTAATTGCTCTGTCGAAGAAGTTCATCTTAATGATGCTTCGTGTTTAGTTATAAAAATTGATCAAAAAACTGCTGTTATCGGTATCTACAGATCCCCATCTCATAGAAATATAGATAATTTCATGAATTCCTTAGATATATTACTAAATTCTTTAAATAAATTTGAAAATATAATTTTAACGGGTGACCTAAACGTTGATATTAAGATTAATAATATAGACAATAATTCAGCTGACTATTTAAACCTACTAGCTAGTCATGGCTTGCTAGCTGGCCATCAACATCCGACCAGAGCCAATAATTGTATAGATCATGCGATGATTAAATCAAATTTCCCAGCTGTTACCATTGTGATGGCGGCACCATTAACTGATCACTCTGCTGTTCTTACTTGTATTAATTTAAAGCATAAATCTGATATGCGAATTACTTACTCAAATAAAATTCACAAAATAAACTATGATTCTATTATTGAGGAGCTTAAAACAACATATTTTGATAACATATTTAAATCACAAGATGCTAATTGGTGCTCTGAGCAATTGGTATCAACTTTGAAAATGTTGACTCAAAAACATTCATTAACAATTCTATCACCTAGAAATATACGTTGTATTAAGCCGTGGATCACACCGGGATTAGTCCGTTGTATTAGGACTCGTGATCGTATGAATTTAAAGTGTAAAAAAGAACCACAAAATGAAATAATTAAGATAACATATGTAAGGTACAAAAATTTTTGTAATGATCTATTAAAACGTCTGAAAAGAAATTATGAAAGTAATGAATTGAAGAAATATGCTAAAGATCCGAAGAAGAAGTGGAAAATAATTGATTCTATAGCAAACAGAAATCATAAAATCAATCCTGCTAATGAGCTTCTTAAAATAGCTAATACTCCCGAGGCAGCTTTAGATAAAATAAATGATTTTTATTCTGGAATTGCAGCGGAACTGGCAAATACAATTCTATCTCAAAATAATAACATCCATTCTTGCCAATATGAAACACAGTTCGTACCAACTAGCTCTATGGCTCTTTTCGAAACATCAAATCAAGAAATTAATGCCACCTTAATGAATTTAAAAACTGATAGCGCGCTTGGATGGGATGGAATACCTACTAAATTACTAAAACTTGCAAGAGACATTATAGTACCCATACTGACACACATCGTAAATCTCTGCTTTCTTACGGGTGTTTTTCCTACAATCTTTAAAATATCTATTATACATCCTATTTATAAGACTGGGAACAAAAATTGTGTCAGTAATTATCGTCCAATTTCGGTACTTCCAGCACTTTCCAAAATTATAGAGAAGATTATTAACAAGAGGCTGATATCATATTTGGAAAAAGAAAACATATTATCAGATAACCAATTTGGATTTAGAGCAGGTAAATCAACAGCACATGCAGTATCTAATCTTGTAGAATTTATAGTGACTAATATAGATAAAAAAACTAAATGTGTAGGGGTGTTCTTAGATCTTACAAAGGCTTTCGACACTGTTTGTATTCCTAGACTGTTGGAAAAAATGGAGCAAATAGGTATCCGTGGAACAGTGCTGCAACTATTCACTGATTATTTGAGAAATCGTTCTCAGAGGGTTACTATAAATGGTTCTTATAGCAGTGACAATGGTATCAACTACGGAGTCCCCCAGGGAAGTGTCTTGGGGCCAACACTTTTCTTAATTTACATAAATAATTTATGCAATTTGCGGTTAATAAATTGCAAAATATTTACATTTGCAGATGATACTGCTCTTGTTTTTCTTGGAGAAAATTGGGAAATCGCGAAAATGCATGCAGAAAATGGATTAAACATCATTTTTAATTGGCTTAATGATAATTTATTGACACTTAATACAGTTAAAACAAAATATTTACTTTTTACTAACTCAGAACGTAGTTTACCATCAAGTTTCAACATGCAAATTCACACCAATTCATGTCTTTACGAAACTGAAAGGAAGATCCATTGCGAATGTGATACTTTAGAAAGAACCCAAACTATAAAATATCTAGGAGTACTTTTAGATGAAAAATTATCTTGGCGTCCTCATATTAGCCATCTTATAGAAAAAACAAGAAAACTTATATACATATTTAAGAAGTTAAGACATACTGCTGATCCTGATTTGCTTAAGACTATCTATCTTGCACTTTCCCAGTCCATCCTAAATTACTGCATTACATCATGGGGTGGAGCACGGAAAACGTATATGATAAAACTTGAGAGAGCTCAGAGGTCCCTGCTAAAAGTGATAAAATTTAAACCTTATAGATATCCTACATCTAATTTATACGCAGAATGTGGCGTGCTAACAGTTCGACAATTATTCATTGTTAATTTAATACTATCTCAACATGAGAAATCACCATATAATTATAACAATGCAAGTAGACGTCAAAACAGGGTCTGTGCAACGTCCAAGTTCAATACTGCTTTTATTAATAAATATCAGTGCTTTCTGGGTCCTATGCTATACAATAAAATCAATCAAATTTTAAATATCTATTCAAAAAATAAATATCAATGTAAGAAGATCTTGGTAGCCTGGTTACAAAATAAAAATTACGAAGAAACTGAGAAATTAATTGAAATAATAAAATAAGTGCTTTTTTTCTGTTATATTACCGAGTCTTTAAAAATTCCTACAAAATAGTAAAAACTTTCATATTAATAATGACCTTGATCATAATAGTCAAAAATAATAAATGATTGTTAACAAAATTTAAAACAAAGAATTAAATTTAAACTAGTTTGCTAAATTACATACACGAGTACATACCTAAATTTATACAAATAAACAACTATAAAGATATAATATATAGGTACCTAAATACAGATAACTACAAATAATAAAAATATGCCTAAATATTTATACATATACAACTATAAATATTGTAAAATATACCTAAATATTTCCAAATAAACAACCATAAATGATATAAATTATACAAATTTATTATTCAAATTATTTACAAATGAACATCTACAAATAATATAAAACTGGTTCAAAATATATCATATTAAAAAAAAATATCTACAGAAAAAGTTTAAAAAAAAAAAAATCTTACGTAAAATAATTAAACAATATACATATTTTTCTTAATGCTTAAACTCATAGCTTTAGTGGTCTAACTTCAATAATAACTAAAAATTACACAATGACGGTAGATGTTTTTAGTAAATTAAATAAGTACCTACGCTGATGTATCTCGAAATTGTTCACATTGTATATCATATATATTTTTAGTATTATGTTACATTTAACTTATTAGCAATAAACAAATTGTGTAATAGGAAGAGGCTAGCGTCTGAGATACAGGCTCGGCCTAGTTCAGACGTTAGTATACCTAAACAAAGATTGTGCTAATTATATAGTTTAAAAATAAATGTCTTGTAACCCTTTTGTATTTACGTCAATAAAGGTATTATTATTATTATTATTATTAAAAGAATATTTAATGTACAGTGGAATGAAATGGTAAATTAAATAAAAAATCTTTCTTTGCTCAATCTGTCCTCTTAGAAAATTTGTTTTCTTATATTCGAATAATCAGATATTATAAAAACATTAGCCCATCACACCTTAATCTGACGATTTCAAGTATTTCTAAATTATCAAAATATTTTTTAAATATTCTGAGAGGATTCACAGAGAAGTTATGGTGGAAATAGTCAACAGAGTGCAAGGTTATTAATCTGCTGCGTTTGAGTAAATCTCAAAATCCCCTATTGGTCTCCCCTACTATAATAAAATTTGCCAAAAATTTGTTAGTTTTGTTGTTGTTTCATTACATTAAAACAAAGTTTAGACCTTTTTAATTAGTAATTTTATTGCATGATGTATTTCTTTATGTAATTATTACAAGATTCTAGAGTGAGAGACAAAAAAAAAATGACAAGCACTATCTCTATCCCACAAGTGTTGCCAACTTAAATAACCAACAAGAAATAGTAATAAAATATTACATTGTATTTTTAACCGACTTCAAAAAGGAGGAGGTTCTCAATTCGATTGGTATTTTTTATGTATGTACACCGATTACTCTAAGATTTATGATCCGATTTACGCTTCGATCAACCAGTATTGTTGGTCGAAGGATTTTCGTGATTCTTCTTTAGTTTGATGCCGAATAGTTGCCATTTGGTACCACAAAATTTGACATAGTCAGTGCCTTTAGTATAGATTTTTCTGATCGCGGCGAGTGTACATACTATAACATTTGGCTTGGCACCGACTTCAAACCTATCAATAGGTAGCACATATAAATAATAGTATTTTATTAATATAAAAGGTATTAAGTTTTCATAAGAGGTGTATTAAATTATATATTTATTATTTTATACCTTTTAGTTTTTGAAATCGGTTTTTTTAAACGTAGTTTTTTTAGCAAGTATAAATACAAAAGAACACTATGACAGATATACTATGATTTGTAAGACTAGGTATGTACCCTCGCTTTACTCAAATAAGTCAATAGTAGGTAATAAATAACAAATCTATTGACTGATAGACTCAGAAACTCCACACTAACTGAAAGTTTAACCACAACACTATTTGCAGCCTATTAAGCTGTCTTCTATACTTCACTTGGAAGTTGGGCGTTGATCGGTGGATAGCGGAATACTCTCCGAAAGTTACTCCAGTTCAAAACAACAGTATGCTTAACTACTGCAAATTGTTTACAAGTTCGGTTGAATTGTTGTATCCTTGAATTCGAAGTATCAACCTTTTCAACACGATTTAAGATTAAAAGAATTTGTTCAAACATTTTTAGTTTAAAAAAACTAAATTCATAGTATTTATAGCCTGACTGATCCCTGTAGTAACGCGCTCGCTTGGAAAAACAAGTGAAGCGAGTTCGAATCCCTTGCACCTCTGATATTTTCATGTGCGAATCATTTCTAACATGATTGCCTTACGGTGAAGGAAAACATCGTGTATGTCTGAGAAAACCTAACAAGTTTTCGAAAGACATGTGAAGTCCGCCAACCCGCAATTAGCCAGCGTGGTGGACTATGCCTTGATACCCTCGTATTGAAGGGAGGCCCGTGCCCAGCATTGGGACGTTAAAAAGGGCTGAATACAATATATTCTTAGACTTATAGTCAACTCTCATCGTCTTGATTCGGCGGTTGTTTTACATGCCCCCTGAAATATTTCAATAAAACTTCAGACCGGCTTTAAGATATTTTGATATACAGTTTAAAAATTAGGCAAAAAATTTCCAATGGGACATTTTAAAATGGTACTGTTATTTTATTAGTCTTCCCAATATAAGTATTACAAGAAACAAGAAGCATTAAACCTACCAGATTAGAGTTCTGTTACAAATTTTTATAACTCATTTAAAATAGGTTTGGATAAGGAAGTGTTTGGTAAAAAAAATATTTCCGATGGAGCAGTGTCGGGGTGAATACGAATGAGACTCATCTATATAGGATAATAAAATTCAAAAAATGTCACCGTTTACTGTTAAAATGGATTTTGGTAAAAAGCATGATTACCCGGTACAACCGGTAAATTCGTTAGCGTGGGCTCGGGTAAGCTTAGAATTTTTATTTTAACCTAAAATATTATTATTTTTGGATTTGAGTATTGAAATTTTATATGATCTTACAGATATTAAATATCTAAAAAGTGTATCTTATATCTTATATATATAATTTGAATCTCGGAAACGGCTCCCACGATTTTCATGAAACCGATCTGTAATAGTCTTATGTCGCAACGCAAAGAAAACGCGTGTTTGCGAGTTTTCATGCAGTTTTCTTTCGAATTATTCCACGCAAAATATGATCGGTAATTTGCACACTCGGGCATAAGCATCGTGGTCAAGCGGCCAAGGTGCAAGATCAACAATCACAGGTGTCCAGGTTCGAATCTCGGGCGCATAAAAAGTTTTCACTTTTGTTTTTTTTTTAATATTTATCAAGTTTTTAGTTTAAAAAAAAAAGAAAATTGCACTGCAGGTAAAAAAGTCTGAGCGAAGCTCGGTAGCCCAGGTGCTTATATTATTAAGAGAAGAAGATATTAAGGGGGCTAAGATAAGATATCTATGTCCCCTGGACACATACAAAAGATTGAATCAATTCAACAGGCTGCTATAAGATCGGTGATATCAAAACAAAACGACTACGAAAAAGAAGACCTAGAACACTATGGAAAGAAAGCATTGTACTTACAGTGGGAAAACAGTGATTGACTTAAAAAGGTCAGAAATAAAATTTGCTGCAGGATTCTCAAGAGACAACCAAATAGAAATATTTGTATTTTCTCACTGTACCTTTGCTCAGCCTTTGTCTATCCGTTTTTTCAATAACTTTTGTAATAAACCGGTATTATATAGGTACCAAAAAGTTGTCCGACTTATAATGCAAAAACTTAAAATATAATTATCCTAATTACATAATCATTTAGTCAATATAATTACTTACTTTGACTTAATTATGATATAATAACACTTATTATCATTAAGTTTCAGATCACTCCTTTGCTTGCATCAAACTAATTTTTCATTCCTTTCTTATAATATTTAGAAAAATATTACTAAAACAACATTAAAGCTCGTTGTCCCATAAAATATAACAGGTAAAAAAGTATCCTATATACATATATAATACAACACCATGATTATTTGAATACTTCCATTTTTTACGTATACAATATATATATATATATATATATATATATATATATATATATATATATATATATATAACAAATATACAAATTTGACAGAATTTTATAGTATTTGTAATAATTATTATTACATTTAGAGGATGTAATGGAAATTATTGTTTCACAGTACGGGAAATTCTAAGTATTATCACACCATATCTATGCATGCCAAATGCATATCACTATTCACACGTTTAATTCCCTATGGATTTCAGCTACGAACATAGGTTAAGTTCACTGCACATCATGAGCATGGGTAAAATTTTAAATATTTTTTTTTATATGTAGAAACTGTTGATGAAATGGTGATTGGTGATTATTCATTAGATGTAATGATAGGGCATGATGTTTTAGTCAATTTCGCCCCATTAAGTTCCTATGGGATGTTGAGATATTACGAAAAGGTATTAAAGACGTGTCTAAACGAATCAGATATTTTTTCAATAAGCCCTTTTTAACGTATCAGCGATTAACATGGATCTTCATATTGAAGGATGTGAGAGGGAATGGGTAGAAGAATTAAGACATGCTAGGGAGGGGGGGGGGGTTAAGGGGGATTATCCCATAGTCCACTTCTCTGACAAAGTGCGGGTTGGCAGACTTTTCATGTTTCTTGAAATCTAATATTTCCCTGTACTTTACTGCGAGTGATAAT